ACGTGGACAAAAAAAAACGACAACAACAAAATCTAAAAACAAATATGTTATGAAGAAAAAAAAAATTAAACAAGATTTGCCTGAGCATTACATCCAATGTATTTTGCGTTATTTCGCTTCGCACCCCTCCGACGACCGGTTTACCCTGTCGCGCCCCTCGGCCAAAAAATATTTTCAGCAGGCCCTTGTCGGTGGTGACAGCAACTTTCCACGACGCCCTCCTTCGACTGGCGGTCCCATTTCTGTGGAGCCCTGTGTTATATGCCCTCATGAAGGAAAGCCATCTTTCTGCAATGCCCCCACAGACGTGCTCTCTCTCTCTACCGTAACCGTTCTCTCTGCTCTCTCTCTCTCTCTCCACGGGAAACAATCGGGCGCGGCAGGGAGAGGGGCGGCAAGAAAGAAAGAAAGGAAAAAAAAAACAGAGAGAGAGAGAAAGAGAGAGAGAGAGAGAGAGAGAGAGAGACGGCGAGTTTGCCGCGACACTCTCCTCAGCTTGCCGTGCATCTCTCTCTCTCTCTCTCTCTCTCTCTCTCTCTCTCTCTCTCTCTCTCTCAGTTCGAAGTTGTAAATAGGGAATGAATCTTCCCGTGTTCGTGGAAATATACGTTCAGGTGTTGCAAAGTGCTCGCGCGCAAAGTAATCGCAGGAGAGAGAGAGAGAGAGAGAGAGAGAGAGAGAGAGAGAGAGAGAGAGCCACGACGAGTTTGCCGCGGTACTCTGCGCAGCTCGCCGTGCATCTCTCTCTCTCTCTCAGTTCGAAGTTGCAAATAGGGAATGAATCTTCCCGTGTTCGTGGAAATATACGTACAGGTGTTGCAAATTGCTGGCACGCAAAGTAGTCAGAGAGAGAGAGAGAGAGAGAGAGAGAGAGAGAGAGAGAGAGAGCTTTGAGATCACCCCGGAGCGCCTCCAACGGCAGTAAGGGCGTGCTAAAAAGTTGGATGGTACCGGTAGGGGCATCCCGAAAATTTTCCCGCTGGCTTTTAACGGCCATCCGGCAGGGGCATGCCGCAAATTAGGGACCGATACTAGTAGGGGCGTGACGAAAAGATTTGAGGCCCAAACGACACCAGGGTCTTATGGAAAATTTGAACCCTGCTCAGAGGGGCGCGACAGGGTAAACCGGCCATCAGAGGGGCGCGACGCGAATAACGCAAAATACAGGGGCGCCAGACAAATTTTCCCAAAAATAAATAAATTAAATTTAATGAGCACACGAGCACATTTTCGACACCCCCATCTTTGACGATTTTTTTTTTTTTTTTTTTTTTGGCATAGCTAAATGCCCTGAAAATTTACAGATGTGTACTCACATAATGCAAAACCCACTAAAAAAGTTTCAAAAAATAATAAAATTGTTTAGACCCCGAACTAAAGTGAAAACAATAAGTAAACACTGAAAAAAAAACGTGGGCGAGCATGTTTTGACACCGCAATTTTTTGGTGATTTTTCATTCTTATTTGGTTGAGCCAAATGACTTTGAAATGTATAGGCATGTCCCTCATGTCATGGAGAACTCAAAAAAAAAAACAAAAAAAAAACAAAAAAAACAATGATTTTTAGGCCCCGAAACAAGTTTTGGCGGAGGTCAAATGCCGTCGGGTTCGAACCCCGTACGACCGGGGACCCCGAACGCCCATACGTACGGAGGTCTGCCCAAGGACCTCCGTACGTACGGGCTGGTGACCCTCTCTCTATATATATATTTCATGCCAAGGTATTCCGAGCGTCACACATTTGTATGAATTGTACCCACATTTGTATGAATTGTATCGAGCTTATTGGACCCGCAGGGGACCCTCGTTACCCCGTCACAAACTTTTCTGCAAGGGAGCTTTCGCTGGTCCGACCAACGATAGGACAAGAGCCCGTCGCACCTCTCGCGAACCCCTATCACATGATAGGGGCCACGTGAGAAACAACTTACCTCTGCCCAAGGTGTTGTCACCACCCTTGGACAAACGTATGCTCGCCTAGCTACTAGCGTGCAATCGCAAAAGCAGCCCAGCCAATGGTTTTTCTTGTATGTTGTAGCATAGGGGATACGCACGATCAAACACCTTAATCAGATCGGTATGCGAACCGACGTATGGGGGGCTGATCTCCCAAGCGTGGCTCTGTGCCGGTCGACTCGGACTCTCCATCTAACCACGGATACACTTCACAAAACTAATATCAAACTTTATACATAAATCGCGCCTTCTCCCTTTTTCACACCCGACCCATCACCTTTTATCAACAAAAACCAACTAAGTTACCTAAGCAAAAACAAAATCAAACTATGTTCAATTCAAAAAAGGTAATTCAAAGATTACTAAGTACAAAGGCACATTTTGGTAATCGTACACCTACTTCACTGAGTGGTTGTACCAACCAAAACTCGTTTACGTATGAATAAGCAACTCCCGCACGCGAGACTTGTTTGAATGTCGCGGCGAGTAGTCATGCATGGTTGCACAAGTAGTCGTGTGGATGACATACTATGTGGTACCTATAATCATGTGGCCCTCAATGATTTTGAGAGTCGCTTTCGACACTGAAGTGCGGCTGACACACATCTTGAGAGGTTAATCTATTGATGCTAAGCAATCGCGAATGCCATTGCGAGACCCACCCTCTTCTGCACCCTACCTGAGGAAGAGGTAAGCAGGTTTTGCCCCTTTGAGGCAGCAGAACACCCCTGGCCTATGGGACGTGGCTTCATCTTGAGAGGTTAATCTATTGACGCTAAGCAATCCCGGAATGCCATGGCGAGACCTACCCTCTTCTGCACCCTACGTGATTAAGAGGTAAGCAGGTTTCGCCCCTTTGAGGGAGCAGAACACCCCTGGCCTATGGGACGTGGCTCCATCACTACATCCCAGTAGTTGGCTTCAATCCCCAGATCTACAGGGTGAAAGTCCGTTGCTCTGACGAATAGTGCTAAGCCCAAGACTCACGTTGGCAGCAGTGCAAACCCATATAAATGGGTGCGGTGTGGTCCGTGGGCCTATTGGAACACACCAAGGCCACACCTTCACCAACCGATCTGACCCACGACCGCCGAATGCCGACATTTGCCGCATGGAAGCGTACAACGGACACAATTTCTTTATGGCTATCCCACTGCAAGCCTGTTGTCGGCGCGAATACCCTTACAGGCCCTGGTTTTTGCATGTGAGAAGGATGGGTTTTGAAACAAAAATCTGGGTATGCAGTGCGACCCGCAGACATTTTGTTTTAATGACCAACTCTATGTTAAGAGGGAAAGTAGAGAGCTTGTGGGCGCGCAACTTTGAAGGCGTGTATGATCTCTTTGTATTCGTGATTGTAAAGTCGGCACAAATGCCAACCTACTTTTGATTTCAATTAAACAGTGCGAGCCGCAACCGACTTCTTTAATGACCACCTCTTATGTTCAAAGGGGAAGTAGAAAGCATGTGGGCGTGCACCTTTGAAATCTACCTTTTATTGATGATTGTAAAGTCAGCACAGTTGCCAGCCAACTTTTGATTTCAATTAAATTATGATTAAGTGGTATTTTCCTCTAGGTAATACATGTGGTTGCAGCGCATGCGCTCCAGTGGAGGCGGAGTCGTTATAGCCGGTGTCAGGTCTAGTTACCGGTGTCGGGCATTAAGAGGATTACCTTTGACTTAACCTTCGACTTAATTTTGAGACACGTTGAAATTGCATACAGCACATTCCGTGAAGAGAGAGGTCTAGTTACCAGTTTAGAGGGTGCGAGCAACCATCGGCCTCAATCTGGTGTGCGTGAACGGATTGCACACAAGGCCATGTTGAGGATAAGTGAAAACCCTAGAATATGAATAACTACCCAAGTGGCCGTTCCTATGTTTGTCCTTGGCTGTCCGGCAAGTCATTATTTTTGTCTACTCCGTGTGCATGTTGGAACTGAGCAAAAATAGTCAAACCCTTGTCCCCCTTGTAACGGCCAAGTGGCGGTTTCCCTACGTCGACCGCTGGCTGCTGTGCCCATCGACATGTCCGTCACCCAAGTGCGGACACACGCATATCTGGGAAATGAGGGAGATACCATCTGAGTACGCTAGGCTCTGCAGTACCGTCGCTGGTGCTGACTCCAGGCCCGGTACCCTGGACCGGGAGCTACCGGTAGGAGGAAGAAGGGGGCGAGTGGCGAGGTACCTACTTGGCTATGGTGGGCACCATCTTCATCACCAGTTGGGATTGCACCGCACAAAGAAGGCTTCGAAGGCAGAGTCAGGCATGACGGCCTGAACAACAGCGTGCACAGCGGGGCAAGGCCCTAGTAGTCCGCCATAACCTTCCCCTACATGAAGAGGAAGGAGAAGCGTGGCGATGGCTATGTTGGACCTTATGTTGTGCCTGCAGTAGAGGGATTTGGATATTGATTCTGGTTCAGCCATTAATCAAGTAGAGAGTAGGAATTATACTACGGGTTGTGTGGCTCGGTTGCTTGCTAATTGAACCTTTGATGTCGATTGTCTGTCATCTTTTTGTTTTGACTTTTTTCGCCTGTGTAATTGCTACCCTCTTTCTTGCTTTCGGTTCTCGTGTCCTAGGTCCCCAGTGCATGGGTCGATCATGTCATGAATGGTTTTGTAGGCCTTGCTGATTCAGATGATTGGAGTCCGGTTCTTGATGCTTGTATGGATGTATTGATTAATTCAACCAGAGGGAAGCAATATCATTGGTTTTTGCTGGTGTACATCTTTCTTCCTCTTATTCTTCTCTCTCTCTCTCTCTCTCTCTCTCTCTCTCTCTCTCTCTCTCTCTCTCTGTGTCAAGTTCATTCATTTCTTTTTGCAATTGGTCAGCATTGTGCTTTATCGTGAATTTGTACTTCGAAATTGGCCTGGATCGCTACAGTAGTATATGTTCTGTTCCATTTGATATCTTATCCGTGGTCCATCTGACACAAAAACACACACACAAAAAAAAAGAGTGCAGAGCAATATGAACAAATGGATGCATCACACAAAGAGACAGCCCCAACTGAGCATGGGAGCTGCTCCTTGTTATGCACAATGAACTCTCTCTCTCTCTCTCTCTCTCTCTCTCTCACACACACACACACACACACACACACACACACACACACATGGATGCGTCACACAAAGAGACAGCCCCAACTGGGCACGGGAGCTCCTTTTTATGCACAATCAACTCTCTCTCTCTCTCTCTCACACACACACACACACACACACACACACACACACACACACACACACACACACACACACAAGCATTTGTGAACTTAGCGCCACCAAAGCACTCTTCGCTGAAAAGGTGCAGAGACAGCACCTAACAAAAATTATGGAAACCGCTGCTCTGCATACATCACAACTCCGACAAAACCTATCAGTTAACAGCCTCGAAACCTAGCCCTTCCCTCAAACTTCTACTCCATTCTACTAAGTCAATCTCTCACAGTTCCTCCTTGCCAGAGCTCTTGACAGTCTCAACGACTTCTTCCTTGCCCTCCTCTGTAGCAGCATCCTTCGCCAGCTCCTTCTCCTCCGCCTTTGCCTCTTCCGTCTCAACTGCAACGGCTTCAGCCTTCTTCTTCTTCTTCTCAAGAGTGAACGGAATACCGCAGTTCTCCTTCAGGAACTTGGTCATTTCCTTCACAGTCCGGTCGCCCTCAAAGGGAATCTACGCAACATGGACATCAACAAAATACGCCCAAGGAAACAGATACAACCACGCCAGAGGAGATGTCAGGCGTCTTCAAGAGATTGACTTTCACACAAAAATGCTAAACAACCTTCTCGATATACAAGAAGGCGGCAAACACCAAATGCAATAAAGGTAAAACACCAGGTCTCTCAATCTTTTCCCAGCCCAAAACTTACCGGCTCTTCAGCTTTCGCTCCAGCCTTGAAGAGGAGAAGAGTAGGGAAACCCTGAACCTGCAGACCATGAAAAGGTTATGTTAGCAATTCCAGCAAAGCTTGCCATAATGTCATCAGACGCCGAACAGGTGAACATCCACTTCACAAATAAAAAACAACAGGCGACTAAACAAAGAAAAGCAGGTGCTGCCTATCAAGTGCGATTCAATAAAGCCAATGCACCCACCGGTGATATCCATATAAAGGCACAAGCCGCTGACCCGAAAAAACGATGGTACGTTCACGAGACGTTCCAGTCCCTTGAAGAGAAATGGCAGCATCCAGACTTTCAGTTCATATGAACTTCTTTACCAGAGCATGGAGTATTGGAATAAGCCAGTACGCGAGCACCAAGATGCATAAACAACGCAAATTGCCAGCTCAACCACCAGAAAGCAGTCAAGCCAGCTCAAGAAATCGATATCTACAGTGAGGAGAAGCAAAATAAGCATTCCAGTTAAAACCAGCTCGACCGCCAGAAAGCAGTAAAGCCAGCTCAAACTGCACTGGCAACCTCAAAAGACTTCAAGCACAGCTCAAGAGACGGAAATAGTCACATCGAAATCTGGCCAACAAAAAGAAAACATAACCGAAACTTCACCACACCCCAAAAATCCATAGTACAACTTCCATTAATGGTCTTACCCACTTCACAGTCAGCTGCATCTTCAACCTACATCTACTCCAGAATGCTTATGTTCAAAGCGCATCAAGCGCGGCTACCACACAAATACACTAGAATGCTTATGTTCAAAGCGCATCAAGCGCGGCTGCCACACAAATACACTAGAATGCTTATGTTCAAAGCGCATCGAGCGTTACTGGCAACACAAATACACTAGAAAGTTAGAAACCAATAACAGCTCTTTAAACACAATGCAAGAGGGAGAAGACGTGCCATGGAAAAGCGGCGGAGAAACACAAAGTAATAGACCACAGCGACACCACACACATCAAGATCTACACGATACGCACCTCAAGACGGGGGTGCTCATTTGCCGTCGCATCGATCTTGGCAATCACCACACTCGGAATATTCCTGAACTTCTTGCCCAGCTTCTTGTAGATGGGTTCCAGGCTCTGGCAGTGTCCGCACCATGGTGCATAAGCCTGTTTTTTTTTTTAATTATGATCCCAAAACCCCAAAGGAATACAGCAGCGACCCAGGCAGCGAGAGCAGGCAGAGTAGCAGCACGAGCAATCTTGTTAGGAAACTGAAACATGAGAACAACAGGACCACATTGTTGCAAAGCACCACGATAGGAGCGGAGGAAATGACTGGCAAAGTAGATAGAAATGAAAATGAAAAAAAAAAGTCAGAACACATTTTTGACGACTTGAACACCACCTCACTTGATACTCCGAACACATTTTTGATGAAATCCACAAAATGTGGATAGAAAAAAGGTTTCAAAACAGGGCTGGGCCGGTTAAAAAAAAAAATTCCGGTTAAAAAAAAAAAAATTCCGAATTTTTTTCCTTTTTATTTTGTCAGCAGACTCCAACTGCGCTCCTCGAGATCTCCGGCATAGAACTTGGAAGGCACAATTTTTTGGGGGGGGAGCTCCCAAAGTGAGGGAAGGGGGGGATGTTATTGGGTAGGTTCTGGAAGGTTGGCCTTTAGGTGGAGGGCTCAAGTAAAACTGCTTTACTTTGTGAACCCCCTGGCCTTTAAAATTTAAGCCCCATACTGCATCACAGCCTGTGCCATCAGACGGTGGCACCCATAGGGCCAAATTACGTATGCCGTTGGAAGGTGCTTGCCCAAACTTGTAGCTCCTCGAGATACTGCATTTAGTGCGGGAAGAGAGCTACCCATGCTGAAAATTTCTGCCTTTTGGACCCCGCGTCTTTAAGTAAACATGTGGAAGTGGGGTCCAAAAGGCCCCTTTATTTTATTTTTTTAACCACCACCACCTTTTCTCAGAGTTGGAAAAAACGGGAATATACATCACACCGCATTTTTCGGGGGTCTGGGCGAGCCTCAGCCAAAAGGAGCAACTGTATCCAAAGAAAGGACGTCGGGTAAGACCGTGAACCATACATGCGGCACATCGCGATGCGCTGTACTGCCCACGTGCGCCGCACCGCGCATCCCGCACGACGCGCGCGCACTGCATGCGACGCACCTCCAAAAATGGTGGTCGAAAAAAAAAAAAAGGTTGTGAGGGGCGGTAGTAGACCCGACCCCCTGCTCACGTAAAATAAGAAATGTGCAGCCAAATCTTTTTTGGAGGCCGCGCGTTGGCCTGAAAGCTTGTAGTAACCTCTAGTCCGCGTAACACTCCGTGTGCACGGTAGGGTTCTTGCAGTCTGTAGGGTAGGTTCTTGCAGGTCAGATTCAGTCATGATGACGGTCGCAATCTCTCAAAACGTTCTCTTCTTATTACTTCCGAAGTAGAAAACGACGGAACTGACAGCCGTTTTTCATGGAGTTTTTGTTTTTTTTAATAAAAAGAAAAAAAATAATCAGAATTTCTCTGCACGAGCGAAGTCCGGCGCGTCCAACCTGTCAGAACCTCAACGGTAGTGTTCACCAACGGGCTCGCTGCACGACACACACGGAGGATTCAATCGGAAACTCTCTTGTCAGAACCTCAACGGTNTCAATCGGAAACTCTCTTGTCAGAACCTCAACGGTAGTGTTCACCAACGGGCTCGCTGCACGACACACACGGAGGATTCAATCGGAAACTCTCTTCTTATGGCAATGTATCTTTCCATGTTCAAGCGGCGGATTCAATCTCATTTGTTCAGAGATTCTCCAAAAAAAAAAAAAGAAAGGTTCCAGAGATACGTTACGTGCTTACCTGATTCAACAGCCCTATGCTCAACGTATGAGCAAAATGGGAATGAATCTTCCGCCAGAACATGGAAAGATACACCGCCATATTTTTTGTCCTTTGTGCATGTCGCCCCGCTTCCGGATTCATGTTGGCCGTTGATAAGGGCGGTTTCTTCAGTCCGATAGTGCCAGCACACGGTTCAGAGATTCTCCAAAAAAAAAAAAAAAGGTTCCAGAGATACGTTACGTGCTTGCCTGATTCAACGGTCCTACGCTCTCCACCACCCAACGTATGAGCAAATAGGAATGAATCTTCTGCCGGAACATGGAAAGATACACCGCCATATTTTTTGTCCTT